TTTGCAGACACTTCTTGTAATTTCAGGACAGGTGACCCAGTGCTGACACTGTGAGCGGACACCTAAACCAAGGCCGCTTGGCTGTTGTCCACCAGTCAGTGTCCTGCCACAGCTCGGCCCTCCCTTGGGTGTGGCAGACTTGGTCTGTGTGCCTACTGGCACTGGGGGCGCTTGCTGGTCACGCAGGCCACCTCCAAGAGGGAAGGGGGCAGAGGGTGGCACAGATCAGGGCCGGTGAGCTAGCGGCCAGGGTGTGGACTCCTCCACCTGCCAGTGGTTCCTCCCTTGCTGTGGACCCAGCACTGGCCTGGACGCTGGGCTTCATAGCCGAGCTTCCGGCCTCCTGTCAGAGAGAAACCCACCACCCCAGTGTGCGAGGAAGAGAGCTGTTGGCCACATTTTTAGAGGTTGGGGGTCACAGAAGAGGGAAGCCCCTCACTGTGCCTGGTACAGTGAGGGGTCCCCTGAACAGGCTGAAAAGGAATGGATGAAGCCCTTTTTTACACGCAGTAAGGTACACAAGGCACACAGTTCATCGTTCATAGCACTGAGTGTGTTCACGGTGTTGTGTGGCCATCACCACTGCTAGTTCCAGAGCACCGTCCTCACGCGGCAGGAGGCCCCCCCCCCCATTAAGCAGTCCCTCTTCAGTTCTCGCTGACCCAGCCCCTGGCGGCCGCTCACCAGCCTTTTCTCTCCCTGGAGCTGCTTGTGCTGGGCCTTCTGAGTGGGTGGAATCTTGCAGCGTGGGGCCTCGTGTGTCTGGCTTCCATCACCGAGCACCCTGTTGTCACTGTCCACGCACAGTCGGTGCGTGTGCTTCATCCCTTTTCACGGCCGAGCAGCGCTCCGCTGTCTGGCTGCAGTGTGTTCGCTGTGCCGGGAGTGGTGGACGCGTGGGTCGTCTCCCCCTCTGGCTGCTGTGAGCAGTGCTGCGAGTGACCCACGGTGTTTGTGTGAGCACCTGCCTTCAGTTCCTGGGGGCATGTGCCGAGGGGCGGGCATCTCTGCTGGACTCCCCGAGGGGCTGCCTGCTTCCTCTCCCCAGCGCTAGGCCAGGTCGCGTCCTGCCGGGAGCTCACAGGGCTTCTGGTTTCTCCACGCCCTTCCTGGCGCTTGTTTCCCAGTTTTTAGAGTTGCAGCCGCCCTAGTAGGTGTGCAGTGGGGTGTGGCTGTGGTTTTCATTTCCATCTCCCTGATGGCTGACGGCGTTGAGCGCCTTTTTGTGTGCGTGTCGCCCACCTGTGCACCTCCTGAGCCAGCGTCCGGCACTTTCAGACCTGCTCCTGCCAAGTTCTGAGACCCTCCTCCGGCCCTGCCTCTTTCTCCCCGCCACGTCTTTCAGAGGCGTTGTGCTCACTCGGGGTCTCCTGCGTCACCCTCTGCCTCCTCACCCAGCCCCCCCACCTCCGTGGCACCGACTCCCACAGACAGTTGGCTTTAGTGGTGTTGGTGGGGGTGACCCTCTTCTCCTCCTGAACGGCTTGCCCCATCGTGGCCCCGCTTCTCTGGCTGGGTCTCTGCAGCCACCTTGTCACTACCTCCTTCACCCCTCGCTGCTCCCATCATGCCCTTGTGCTCAGTGGTCTCATTCACTCCCCGACCTCGGTACCCAGGTAGATGGACAACTCCAGATTGACGTCTCGGCTCAGAGGAGTGTTTCCCGAGAGCCGGCTGTGCGGCTGCCCGACTGGGCAGGCTCTGGGAGCCAGTGAAGAACAGACAAGGACAGGCCAGCCTCACTGTCTCCAGAGCTGGTGGGACAGACAGAAACCCGGAAACCCAGGGGAGCTGCGGCTGTGGTCAGTGAGCGGACAGTAGCGGGGAGCCACTGGGAGGAAGAGGACGGCAGCCGTGGGCCTGCCTCGGACTCAGAGCGCTCTCGGTGGAGCTCATTTCTCCCCGCGTTTCCTTGCCGTCTCAGCTGCCTGTCCCACTGTCCCCTCCCCGTGTCAGCCAGCCATCTGGGAGGCCTCCCCGACCCCTCCACCTCTTCATCTGCATTTGCACTCTGTCAGCCGGCACCTCGACGTTCCCCGGAATTCTCCGCTTCGTCTAGCGCTCTTCCGCCGACCGCACCCGTCTCTGGTCTGGACGGTGGTGGCTCCTCTGCCCCCCTTCTCCCCTCCGGCCCACACCCACCTGACGCCTGAGCAGCCTCTCAGCAAGGAAAACGTGCCCCTGGCCGGTGTGGCCCTGTTGGTTGGGGTGTTGTCCCGTGACCAAAAGGTGGCAGGTTGGATTCCCAGTCAGGGCGCGTCCCTAGGTTGTGGGTTTGATCGCTGGTCCCCAGTCTGGGTTCTGGGCACCTACAGCCCCTGACCAGGCACGTGGGGAAGGTGGCTGATCGACGATGCTCTCCCATCCATGTCTCTCTCTCCCTTCCTCTCTAAAAGCAGTGAAAAAATGTCCCCAGGTGAGGATAAAAAGAAAAGGAAAATGTGTTTGTGTCATTGCCCCACTGAGAACCTTTCACTAGGCTTCAGGTTTCCCTTGAGATCAAGGTCAGATTCTTTAACCTGGGCTGGTGGCTCTGGGGGGGTCTGCAGCCACTCCAGGCCCACCCCGTGCCTCCTGCCTCCCTACTGTGGCCATGCTGAGCCCCTCAGCTCTTGGTGACACCCGCCTGGACATGGCTTTGGGCACACACGTGCACACGCACACTGCTCCCCTACTGTGGGTGCTCACCCCCCCCCCAGAGGAGCCTTCCTGACCTTGAACGCCCCTCTGGCTGTTGCCGGGCATAGGCAGCCTTGTGTTTTTCACACACCTGGCAGCCCTCGTTGGGGGAAAGGCACCCACCTCCTAATCCACACGTGAACACAAGGCGATAGCCGTGCTGGGCACAGGGGAGAAGTGGACTCGGAGCCCCGGTGCAGGGCGGCCTGGCTCCCTGTGAACAGAAGGGGGCGGTGGCACATCAGAACAGAGAGGGTGTCAGCAGGCTCTGGCCTGGCCCGCGGTCTGGGGCGCTTTGCAGACACCATTTAGCTAGAGGCATTGGGGTGGGGTGCACAGGGGGAGGGGACCAGGCTGTCTTTCCTGGAGACCACTCTGCCTGCACTGAGGAGGAGTGGTCAGCAGGGCCCGTGGGACGAGGTGACATGGCAGGGAGTCAGAGGCCTTGGGGAGGACGTTGTTCCCTCGGACAGGGCGAGCATCGCCTCGGCGCAGCCTGCAGCGGGCTGTGGGGACCACGGGTTTCCTTTTCTGTTTCGTGAAAACAGAAAAACTTGGCCAGATCACCGGTCCTCCTGTGGAGGCTGTTCCGTCGGGGGGCGGGGGGCAGCAGCACGAGCTCTCCTGCTCATGTTTGGGCCAGGCGTCCATGAAGGTTGTTAGGTGGGTAGTGCTGGATTCCACGTGTAAACTTCCATCTGCGGACACCTGTGAATGAAACATTTAAAACAGGCCAACCCCTGGGGGAGCGTTTGTGGCTGTGGCGTGAGTAAATACCAGGCTTTTCTAAGATCAAGTGAGCTGAGCAGAGAGTTTTAACGGGGGGCATCCCGAGCAGGGGAGAGTTGTGGACAGGGATTTTGAGGAGGAAAGACCCATGCTGTCACGGTCAGGTGGGCGATGACAAACGTCAGGGACAGAGCCCGAGAGAGCCCCCTGTGAGGAATAAGCTGTGGGGGGCCGGGCCCAGGAGGCCCTTGCTCCGGGTCAGACACACCTGCACGGGGCGCTCCCAGGAATGGGCTCCTGCGCACCTTAGTAACAGGAAAAGCAGCACTTCTTTCGTAGAAATTCTGTCCAGTGGTGAGCGTGGAGAGTTAGAGGTCCGAGTGGGTGGGCCTGTGCTCCTTGGCCCTGCGTGCTGGTGGTTCTGGGACAAGTTTGGCTCTCACAGAGCACGTCGGGTGGGTGCAAACTCCATTCCTCTGGGCAGACTGCAGGGCGGGGAGAGGGAGCACCTTTGCTGCACAGAGCACCTGGCTGGTGGACACGCGCCAGAGCAGCTGCCAGCTGTCCCCGCTCTGCCGGTGGGCCCTCGGCGCTCACCCACCTCTGCTTGAGAGTGTGCGCTGCTTCCCACCTTGAAAGCCGCTGCGTGTCATGGGACAGTCGGTGGTCAGGCAGTCCGGGGACAAGCCCCGAGTCTGGAGCCCGGAGGTGAACGCGAGGGGAGGGAAGCCAGAGCTTCCCCAGGCTCACGGAGCCGCAGCCCTGCCCTGCAACCTGCTCCGCGTCCTGAGGCCAGGCGGCGATCTGGAAGGGAAGCCATCGTTTCTGCGGCGTTCGTCGTCTGTCAGTGTCCTGTTGCTGCTGTGCGAATGGCTGCCAACTTAGTGGCTTAAAAGGACATAAACTTTGTATCTTACAGTTCTAGGGCTCAGAAACGGGGCCGACTTAAGATGTCGGCATAACTAGTTCCTTGCGGAAGCTCTAGAGAACAGCGTGTTTCCTTCCCTTTCCCAACTTGTAGAATCTGCCTGCGCTTCCCTTGGCTCGTGGCCCCTTCCTCCGTCCTCGCAGCCAGCAGTGTGGCACGTGCGTGTCACTGTCTGACCTCTGCTTCGTCATCTCGCTGCCTTCTCCTGTCTCGTAAAGACCCGTGTGGGCACATGGGGTCCGCCCACCAGCCCAGGGCCGTCTGCCACTGTGGGGTCCTGAACCTCGTCACGTCTGCAGAGTCCACTCTGCCAAGTGCAGTCCCAGGGATTGCGTGTGGGCGTCTCCGGAAGGCCATCACCGTCAGCCTGTACACACACACACACACACACACACACACACACGTGTATCAGCCTATATGGCAAACACCTAAGAGCCCAAAGGGAGATAAAGGAACTCAGGTTTGTCTGTGAGTCTCTCAACATCAAGCATTACAGGAGGTGGCGGAGCCCCAAGTCCAGCAGCTGCAGAATTATTGTGTTGTTTACGGTAGAGCGGAAGGGACTCTCCCAGAGTGAAGCGTTCATGTATTTTTCCCATATTCTAAGTGGGCTGTAAAGTCAAGTCATCTGACACATTTGTTCCCGTTTTCATTTTGTGAACAGACTCCCAGCAGGAAGAGCAGCCTCATCACGGTGCCGTCGGCGTCTACCAAGATAAAAGTGCCGGCCCCTCAGCCCGTAGTGAAGAAAGAAAAACGGCAGAGTTCCTCCCGGTTTAGCATCAGCTATAACAGAGAACTTCAAAAACTACCATCTTTAAAAGGTAATTTTTATTATTTGTCTTTGAAAGTTAAATGTTGCCTATTTAGGGGGAAAGAGTAATGTTCTGATAGTTTGTTAGCTCTTACACCTTTGCTGTGTGTTTGGTCCGTAGGACCATCTCTTCTTCTTTACTGAGTTTTCTTTTAGATTGAGTGCCTTTAACTTATTTACTCAACTAGTATTTTAAATTCCAGGCTTCTTAAGATAAAAATCTACCATGAATCTATTGTAGTTATTACACACTCAAAAAAATAACAGGAAAGACTTGAAATCTTCTCGTATTAGTTGTAATCAGGCTGGCCGAGTTGTCTTTAAAGTCGATCTTCCCTCCCACCTGTCTCAGCTGTGCAGCCCGGAGAGCAGCCACCCGAGCAGAGCAGCCGTGAGAACTGGGGGGCACCCTGGGTTTTCCCGGGGGTGGAGGGGTGCAGACTGGAACCGGAGTCCTCGGGGACTTTTTTCACCCTTCGGTCATTGGTGGTCACTCCACCCAGGGGCTTCTTCTTTGAGATGAGTCAGGAAATAGAGCTCTTCGCTTCGAATTTTCCTCAAAATGGCACAGTTGCCCCTTTCTGCCTGAGGGTGTTGAGTCCCCAGAAGTGGTCCTCTAGGAGATTTTGAGATTGACATACATAAAACCTTATTAAGGAAAAGTAGAGCGAGAACCCCGAAGGCAGATGTGAACCTCTGAAAAACTTTGTTCTCATTGAAATCTAAGGCTAGCGTAATGTATAAAGAAAACACCAGATATTTTTCATGTCTCAAATGCATAATAAATGGACCTTTTACACTTAGTTTTTATTTTGAGTGAGCTCAGGAGCTTGATGCAGGTGTGAGTGCAGGGGGTGGCAGAGGGGGCGGCGGGAGGGAGGGAGGAAGGGCGGGTGAGGGACTTGGCGGATTCTTGTTTGCCCTTCCTGCTCCTGGTTTTCTAGGAATCCCCTCTGTGCAGTTCACAGAGTTGTGTCTGACTCGTGTTTGCTTTGGCTTTGTGATAGGTGAGGTGCACACTCGGTCATTTCTGAGAAGCCGTCCCCTCCCAAACGGTCCGTGCCCTTCTTGTGCTGTTCACTCGTGCAGCAGACACTGTGCGGGCACCTACCGGCGCAGGCCCTGTTCTGGCCACGGGGGTACAGCATCGAACAGGAACCAGGGCCTGCTCTGCTGGAGCCGGCATCCCGCCCCAAGGGGAGGTGGCCAGCGAGTGAGAAAAGGAACGGGTGCCGCGCCGCCCTCCAGTACCCTTCAGAGGCCGACCACAGTACACGGGCCGTCGCGGGTGGGGAAGTTGTGCCGTAACCATTCCTGAGCCTTCTCTGGCTGCCCAGTCCCTGACACCCATCAGGGGCCTTAGGCTTGGCTCCTGCGGTTAGGGCCTGTGCAGAGGCCCAGCCCGAAGGCCCTCCCAAGGACACACGGGGCCACCCTCTTTCTCCAGGCCTCAGTTTGCAGCTCCCACCTCCATTCCCCTGTCTTCATACCCAGAAAGAAGGGCGTGCCGCCTGCCTGCACTGCCCCCAGAGAGAGCCGTTTTCTGCACTGTCCACATAGCCTGGGGCATTCACGCTGGTCACGCCGAGGTGCCAGGACTCTCGTTACCGTTGGAGTCGTCACTGTCTGCAGGCCATTTTAGTGGACCGAAATAGAGATGCGTTTTTCCAGGAGTCTGCGTGCAATTTTCAATTCAAATTCAGGTTAATGGTCATTTATTTAACTCTAAATATTTCCTTTTTGCCACACCAAGATTTCAGGTTCTCTCGGACATCAGAGATAATAGGACTTAAACGTGACATAATTATTCATTTACTTTATGCCACGTTGCACACAAAATATTCTCAGAAAGATAATACCCATATTAGAATCAGTGTGATGATTGAAAGGTTAAATGTTCACATTTTTCACCTTCTTCCCCTCCTGTTACCTATTGTATTACCTGTTTCTGAGATTTTTCTGTTAAAGATTCATGGAGTCCTTTCACACATTCCGTTACTCCTGTAATGTCTCTGGCTCTTGAGTGTTTCAATGGCTTGAAATACTGAGTTGTAGTTTTTAATGTCTTTTATGGGACATCTTTCTGACGTGCTTAACTGTCTGGGGAGATGTGGGCCTCTCCCTGCTCTTTTTCCTTATAATTGTTCCACGTGGGACCTCGATCCCTCCTGTTGCTCAAGTGTGTGTGTGTGTGTGTGTGTGCGCGCGCACCCCTGTGACAGACAGAGAGGAGACACTGATGGACTGCTTAGAGAGGGCGGACGTGGGCTCCAGAGCTCTAGCTTAGGTTGCTTTCAAGAATTTTCAGAACTCTGGCCGCTCACCTCCTCAGCACCTACCTCGGCCTCCCCCCTCCCTTCCCGTCTGCCCTCCGCGCCCCTGCCGGGGCCTGTCCTCCCCGCTGGCCTTTCCTCCCCAGCCGTGTCTGCCCCCGGGCTGGAGTTCCGGGAGGGGGCCTTGGCTGCCTTTCGGCCCCTTCAGACCTAACGTGGCCACCTCGGTGTCGCCCCCTGGAGGGTACAGACCCTTCCACTTGCAGCTGCTCTTCTCGAGTGGGCTCACCCAGCTCTCTGGGCGTTTCCAAGCTGTTGCTCTGCAGGCCAGCCCTCTCTGCCTCTTCCTCATGACGCCGATGGTGCGCAGGTCTCGTAGCTGCTGGTAGTTGGTCCCCACAAGCTCACATATGTATGGGGACGTAGTTTCAGCTAGTTTTTTGTAGATGTTGGCCATGGGATTTTTGGTTTTGTTCTTAGTTGCTCTGTGATTTTACATAAGAATTTGAAGAAATTTAAAAACTATGCCACACTTTTTTGGTAACTGCCGAGACTTGGAAGCAATCGAGATGTCATCTTCAGTTGTTGAATGAATGAATAAACTGTGATCCATCCAGGCGGTGAAATATTGTTCAGCAATAAAAAGAAATGAGCTGTCCGGCCAGAAGAAGGTTCCACGGAGGACCCTTAGATGCACATCACTAAGCAAAAGAAGCCGATCTGTTAAGGCCGCGTTCTGTGTGGTTCCACCTATGCGACATCTGGGAAAGACAAAACTCTGGAGACAGTAAACCGCTCGGTGGCTGCCGGGGGCCCGGGGAGGGAAGGAAGGCCCCGTGGAGCACAGGAGAGTTTCAGGGCAGCGGACCTCTTCTCAGACGGTGAAGGTTGTGAGCACTCGGGTGGCCTGTGCCTCCGTCAGAGCCCGTGGGGCCGACACGTGCAGAGTGAGCCCTGCCGCACACTGTGGTTGCGGTGAAGAGTGGCGTTTGTCAGTGATGACAGGTGCACCGCGCTCGTGCAGGAGGCTAGTGGTGGGGGAACTGGGGGAACACTCCCTTCGGTGTTTCTGTGGCCCTGCGGGGCAAAGTCTGTGGAGTGTCAGCGGTCCCTTAGACCAGGCCACCTACCGATACTTTGCCTTCGTTCCTTTTGCACTCAGACGTGCCGGGTCTCAGGCACCGGCCGCTCTCCTTCTGTATAAACACTTCGTTTAATGAGAGTCTCCTAGTAGCAAGTTCTGGCATTTGGTTATCCGGAAAATGCCTTTACTTTGCCCTCCCTCCTTCCTGCAGTGTGCTTGCTGAGTGCGGACTTGCAGGTCGAACTGCTTCCTTCAGGACGTCGGGGGTCAGCACCTCGTGGCCGTGGCCCTTCGCCCTGGGCACTGAGAAGCCCGAGTCGCACTGTGAGGTGGAGTTGGGGCTTCGGACCACTTTTCTGACGTTTGTCCCTGACGTTGACTTCCCAGCAGTTCCAGTGCTGGTGTCCAGGTGGGGTTTTTAGTCAGTTTTTGGGGGGTTCATCTGGAATTTGTGGATCGTTGTACTTCCTCAGTGGTGGAAAATTCCCAGCCATCCTTTCTTTGGTTGTTATCCTGCACCAGTCCCTCCTCTTCTTTGGCTGTAGTCCTGTGTGTATTGGACTTTTTCATCTGCCGTCTGCCTTCAACCTCCATCTGTGCCTTTCAGCCTTTCCGTTTACCAGCTATGAGTCTCTCAACATCATCCGTCGTGAGGGCCAGTTTTCTCTTCCTTAACTTTCAAGTCACCATGGATTAATATCCTCAAAACATACAATAAAAATTGGTCACTATAAAAATGAAATACAGCCCTGACTGCAAAGTGAAAGGGCGCTGGTTCAATTCCCAGTCAGTGCACATGCCTGGTTTGGGGTGTGTATGAGGGGCAACCAGTCGATGTTTCTCACATTGATGGTTTTTTTTCTCCTTTTTCTTCCTGCCTTCCTCTCTCTCTAAAAATAAATGAATAAAATCTCCTAAAAATGCAGTACAAAATACAACCATAAATTGTTATAGTCAGCGGACATAAAGTTACCTTGTTACATTGCTCTCCAAGCTTCTAAACACCACGTGCAGTTTCCGTTTGCTCATTAGAGAATCTTCACGTCAGTCCAACACGTATTTTGTCAAACTCACCTATTGAGCTTCCAATTTCAGGGACACTGTTTTCATTTATGGAAGTTCGTTTTTAATTTGCAGTGTGGTTTTAAAAATACTTCCCCGTTGTCTCGCAGACACCGTAAAACGTGTCGTTTCTGTAAGTGCAGTGAGCACAAGGGCTGCATGTGTCACGGTCTCTGTCAGGTGAGTCAGTCTCGAAAGTCCTGGTCCGCCCGTGCTGTGTGCCCGACCATCTTTTATTCTGCTCTGGTCATTGTGCTCAAACGAAACCCACTGAGGCCTAGAATGAAAGTATCTTCTGGAGCCGTGATTCGTCTGGGTGCTGCCAGACCCCTGGGGTCACTGCCGGTCTGGGACTGCCCGCGAGCCGCAGCCCTGGCTACAGCTGCTTAAGTCAGCCGTGCCAGTCGTGTCCGCCTGTCCCCGTCCCCCGTGGTTCCTGTCCCTGGGGGCCTTTTTGTGTGGGGCACGTAGGACGACACTGTGTGACTGGGAGGCGCACGTTACCAGGTGACGTCAGAAGTGGTGCTGGTGCCACCCGGGAGCGGGGGCTGCTGACTGCGCTCTCCGTTGGGCAGCGGCCATCTCCTTCGC